CCTCCAGGTCCTGGACAACTACACCACTTGAGTTTGTCTCTATCACTTACATGCCCTAAAATTCACCTGTTTTGATGCAATGGGTTCTAGTTAGAGTTGTGTAACCATTACCACATCCAGTTTTAGAACATTGCCCTCAGCCCAAAGTGAATCCTTGCACAACTGTTCCCCAGAGCCGTCCCCAGCCCCAGGCCACCACTAACTACTCTTCGTCCTATAGATTCGCCTTTTCTGGAACAACCCATGTGGGAGAACTGGCCTGAGTTCCTGGCTCTCGGCTTGGGCCCCTTGGCTATTGCGGGTATCTGGGAAGTAAACCAGCGGATGTGAGCTCTCTCTGTGCTTCTCAAATGAATTCAAATACACACACACACACACACACACACACACACAGAGAGAGAGAGAGAGAAGGGTGGTTACCAGGGGTCAAGGATAGAGGAATTGGGAGATGCTGGTTCACACACACACACACACACACACACACACCCTGAGGGAGAGGGAGAGGGAGAGGGAGAGGGAGAGGGAGAGGGAGAGGGAGAGGGAGAGGGAGAGGGAGAGGGAGAGGGAGAGGGAGAGGGAGAGGGAGAGGGAGAGGGAGAGGGAGAGGGAGAGGGAGAGAAATGGTGGTTACCAGGGGTCAAGAATAGAGGAATTGGGAGATGCTGGTTCACACACACACACACACACACACACACACAGTTAAGAACAAGTGCTCCGGTCCTTTTCATTGCCAATAGCATTCCATCATATCGGTTTATAACACTTTGTTTACCCATTCACCAGTGGAACATTTGGATTGTTTCCATTTTTTTTGCTGTTATAAATCGTGCTGTTATGAACATCTACACACAGTCTTTGTATGAAATATGCTTTTACTTCTCTTGGGTAGATACCTAACGATGGAATGACTCGGTTGCGTGGTGGGTTTATTTTTAACTTTTTGTTTTAATGAGCCAAAGGCCGCATCCGTTTGTGTTTCGCCCAACAACGTACGAGGGCTTCGGTTTCCCCTCAGCGTTCTTCTCTCCCAAAGAGCTCGCCCCCCTGGAGTCTGACACGAGCTAGAAGGCAGACTCCTGGGGCACACCGGGATTCCACAGGGCCAGGGTTCAGGAGGAAGCCGCTCGGCCTTTCTACTCCCTTCTCTTGCGTCTCGCTCCCCGATGTACAAAAACACAATTTCTGTTTACTCACAGACTTTGCTTTGTGTTACTGTCCCCACACACAGCGCTCACATAACCTTTTACGGAATCTCGTGTTCACAGGTCTCTCTCTGCCTCAACTAGACAACCCCTGTCGAGGGGGACAAGCAGCACAAAACATGGCACCAAGGCCGACGTGGCAGTGTGTTGAATAACTAGTTGAGGAGTCAGTGTACATATTTGGTCCACGTACATCCTAATACCCACGTCTGCCTGCTCGCCTTCTAAAGGGTCTTACCCTTCCCATGGGACCTGCTCACTAAAAATACGACAGACTCTCAGAGCTTCCAAAGAAACCAGAGGGAAGAGTCCAGATGTTTTGGTTTCCATCGACACTCTGTGACTTGGAGCAGTGGAATGACTGGTCCATGACCACCCACAGGTGTTAGTTAGAAGTTTCCAGGGTTAACTCCCCAGTGGAAGAGAGGAGGGGGAGCGGCCCACTTTGCCACCAAGAATGGGTGGAGCTTGTGGTGGGAAGAAAAGGAGGATTGGGAGAGAGAAGAGGGGGTCTGGTCCATGGTGAAATCCCGATGCCTGGCTGTAACTGTATTTTGCAGGAAAGGTAGGTGTAGGCGTGGGTTAATATGGGAGGAGTGAGAGTAGAGGGAGGAGACCAGGAAGTGGAAAGCCAGGAGGAAGGCCTGGGTTTGGAGCAGCCTCTGCAGAGAACTAGGGAGGGAGAACTCCCCAGCCATGCCAAATGCTACACGCATGGCGTTTGCAGTCTGCAAGCCTGGGAAGCGGTGGGCCCAGTGACAGCACTGTGGAAGACGGGAAGGCAGTGCAGGTCTCCACGTGAGCACCCACGTGGCCCCGGGGCTAAGGGCCTCGTGGATCAGAGCACTGCCTGTGCAATTACTCTGCTCCAACATGGGCTCGGCCACACAGAAGTATGGAACCCTGGGCAGAGGAACATGACCCTAAGGCTCATCTGCAAAGTTGGGTAATAACAATTACTTCCCAGGTTTGGAGGGAGGATCGGCTTAGGTGATACCTTTACGGCCCTTGGTTCCTTAGCCCTGCAATTTATCCCTGTCCTTGCGAGGGGGAGGCAGCTGGAAACCACACTCACCACCGGAGCTGCTTCTGGGTGGACATCCACGTTTGAACTTCTACAGAACAGAGCACAATCTTAGTATCCTTGGGAGTTTGTGGTCATGTTTTAAACGTTTGTAGGTTCAACACTGATTAAAAAGAACTAGCATTTTCTTTAAAAAAATAGCCACACATTGGTCCAGTTCTTAGCCAAAGAAATCATTCAACTACAATGTGCAGTTTTCAGATACCACTCCGGAGGCCTTGGGGTGACCTCAGGATTCCGGGGCTGCCCTGGGAAAAGGGAGAAGGAACTCCCACTCCTCCCTGACTGGAAGTGTTCTCCTATAAGCGATCTTATACTCGTATGTTGGAGTTCTTATAAGACAAATATGATTCCATTTGAAGAGAATGTTCTCTGTGTTTTGAAAACTCCTATAATAGAAATTTAATAGACATGCAAGGTTGATAATGATCATCAAATGACAAACCTTCAAAAATCAAAATAAATTTCATATAAAACCTCAACTTCTTTGGCTGGCTAGTCAAATTTATGGAACACTGTTTTAGAAGACCAGAGAAGGAAAAATTTCAAGAGATACAAATACCATACGTTTTCCACTGTGGAATGGTGTTATTTTGGTGTATTTTTCTAACCAGTATCGGTACCCACAGTAATATTCTGGAATTCTCTTACAAAGAACGGGGAGAATGCAATCCAAATCTTAGGCAAGCATTTTCGTGCTCATCCCTGTCTGTTTAGGAAACAGAGTGTTTCACAAAAGAACCACATTCCATGAAAAGTATGTTTGTTCTGCCTGAAATGTAATCATTTCTTCAGGAAGGCCTGATTCAGATACAACATCTTAGGAAGTTCAACATCACTTAGTCTGCAGACAGCTGAATGTCGTACTATTTTCTGAATTCCAGGAAAATGTTTCTGAAACTAATTTGGCCACACGAGACTATGCTTTTTCCATTTTCACTTATTCAAAAATTTGAAAGGCAGAAAGAGAGAGAGGCACACAGAGATAGCAAGATACAGAGAGAGATCTTCCAGCCTCTGGTCCACTCTCCAAATGCCTGCAGCAACCTGGGCTGGGCCTGGCCAAAACTAGGAGCCCGGAACTCCACCTGGGTCTCCCATGTGCACGGCAGGGACCCAAATTCTTGAGCCATTGCCTGCTGCCTCCCATGTGTGCAAGAGCAGGAAGCTGGAACTGCAGGCAGAGGCGAGACTCAAACCCAAGCCCTCCGATAAGACACGTTAAGCATCCTAAGTGGTGTCTTGACTGCTGCTTCAAATGCCAGCCGCTACACTGTACTTTTAAACTCAACTATACGTTATCATTTTGTGACCTTTACTGCCTAGTAGATAGCACATCCAGTTAGTTATTTCCTGTACTTTAATTAGATTCCTTCTTGCGTGTGCATGCACAGACATGCGTATTTATTTACGAAAGCTCTGGTTTTTAAATGTGGGCTTTGACTATTTTTGTAGATTCCAAATAAATCAACAAGGGGAAGAAGGTGGGCACGGAATCCTGAATCAAGACCCTGAGACCAGGCCACCCAAGTTCCAGTCCCAGCTCAGCCACTTTTTTTTTTTTAATTGAAGATTTATTTATTTATTTGAAATATAGACTTACAGAGAGGCAGAGGTAGAGTCAGAGGAAGAGGCAGAGAGAGGGGGGAGAGAGAGAGAGAGAGAGAGAGGTCTTCCATCCACTGGTTTACTCCCCAGATGGCTGCAATGGCTGGAGCTATGCTGATCCGAAGCCAGGAGCCAGGAGCTTCTTTCAGGTCTCCCACACAGGTGCAGGGGCCCTAGGACTTGGGTCATCTTCTACTGCTTTCCCTGGCCAGAGCAGAGAGCTGGATCGGAAGTGGAGCAGCCAGGACTTGAACCGGCGACCGTATGGAATGGCAGCGCTGCAGACTAAGGCTTTAACCCACTGTGCCACAGCACCGGCCTCTCAGCCACTTCTAAGTGCTATGACTTTCCAGGGGCTACTTCACTGCTCCGTGACTTGTTTTTCTTATCTGTAAAGTGGGAATAATTAACTGTCCCTCTCTCACCTGGCTGTGAAGACAGCAGGAGTTAATATACACGTAAAGCACTTAGAATGGCACCTGGTACAGAGTACTCAACACACGTTAGCCATCATTAGCTCTTCTCGGTTTCCCAGTGACGTCAGTATGGGCTTCATGTGGGTGACTTAAATAGTATGGTTGATAAGCCAGAAATAGTATGGTTGCTATGGGAGTCAACAGCTTGGCATTCTTGGCACCGTTAGAAACACTCACAGTTGGAAGATGCTCAATTCCATGACCAGGCTGGCCAGAAGTCCAGGGACTCTCCAGTCTGCACCTGGACGTGATGACCCAGGGGGCAGGGTCATCTACAGAGAGTCACCGAGCACCCAGGATGTGGTGGCTTCCGACGACACGTAAGGCCCTGTGCGGGCTGTGCGCAAAGTCTCACTGCGTGGGGAAGCGAATCCCATGCCATTCGGCATGACAAAGGAAAGCCCCCAAAAGAAGAAATAAATACAGGAAAGTCAACTGGTGCCGCGTCATGACGTAACGCCTGTATTGCCGCAGCGACAGGAGATGCTCTGTGCTGTACACTCGCATCGCAAACATCACTTGAAAGACATTCCTGAACAATTCTAAGCTGCTCTAAAGCATCAGAAACAGACAAGCTGAGCCCCTGGAACAACGTACACGCACCATGAGGCGGACAGGTGGGACCCACCGTAGATAATCAAGGCTTTATTCAAAATTACACAGCTCTTAAAAATAAACAGTATACAATGTGTTTGCATTGTTACTGGGGGAACTTTAAAAATTGCTTTCAATCACACTTAAAACCAAGTTGTACCCCGAAGGATGCCGCGCGGCCGGTCCCTCGCTGCCCCGAGAAGCAGGGCTCTGAGCGGGCGGCTGGCGTGCGAGGCGCCGCGGACCCCGCGGGCGGAGGCCTTTTCTTACTCCGAATGCCGGTGCCTCTTCTTGTTGTGGCTCTCAATTGCCCTCCTGAGGGCTTCGTCCTGGATGAGGTCCGACATCCTTATATCTGTGTGGCTGCAGCCAATTTTAGGGCAGCTGAGAGGGAGAAAGAAAATCAAGTCAGTCCGTTGAACATTTTTAAAAAATATTACTTATTTATGTATGAGTGAGGCAGAGAGCCAGAGAGAGGGAAAGAGAGGCCAGCTCTTGGTTCACTCCACAAGGGTCCATGCTGGCAGGAGCTGCCCGGGGGCTGCAGCTGGGGGCTGGGAACTCCCATGTAGGTGCCAGGAACCCCACGGCTTGGGCCTCACCACTGCTTCCCAGGGTTTGCATCAGCAGGAAGCTGGAACCAGGAGCTGGTGCTGGGAGTGGAACCCAGGCACTGCACTGTGGGCCATGGCCTTGGGTATCTTCACTGCCAACCCAAACGCTACCTCAGTGCACTGAATTTTGATGCCTTAAGCACAAACTCCATTCAAATTCATGCACAAGAGGGTCAACAGTCTGGCACAGCGGGTTAAGCTGCCGCCTACAATGCCGGCATCCCATATGGGTGCCAGTTCGAGTCCTGGTTGCTCCACTTCTGATCCAGCTCCCTGTTAATGCACCTGGGAAAGCAGCAGAAGATGGCCCAAGTGCTTGGGCCTGATACCTCATGGGAGACCTAGAAGAAACTCCTGGCTCCTGGCTTTGGTCCGGCACAGCCCTCACCATGTGGCCCTCTGGGTAGTGAACCAGTGGATGGAAAACCTCTCTGCCTCTCTGTAACTCTGCCTTCCAAATAAATATAAATAACTCTTAAAGAAAGAAAGGGGGGACAATAAAGGAGCATGCATTATAAATCAGGATTCCTTTATTGCTGAATGCCTGCTTGAGCCAGGCCCTGTCCAGGGATTGGGGACACACGCTATGCACGCGCAGTGTCTTTCCTGGGACATACCGTCCAATGGGGTAGCCAGGCAACCACTAAGTAACTCACAATTGTTCGCTATGAGTTCCGGCCACACTGGTGTTATGGAGGCAACAGGGCCAGGTCAAGGGGGAGAGCACTGGGGGCCAGGTGAGCCAGGCCTCCCTGAGGTCTGTTGGACAGAGCGCAGCCGGGGGTGTGGGAACAAGACTGCCTGTGGCCAGGCTGAGCAGCAGCGAGTGGAGAAGCCAGGGAGGTGGACTGGCGCTGTGGGGCGAAGGCCAAGGCCCCGAGGCTTCGGGGAATCGGGTGAGAACACGAGTGGGGCTTCGGGCTTCACTGCAAATCTGAAGAGAACTCCCTGGGCGGTTTTGATTCGGCTCACATGTGGCACACGACACTCCGGATGACGAAGGGAGAACACAAGGCAAGGAGGCCAGGTGGAATCCTGCAGGAATCCAGGTGGCTGAAGGTGCGAACAGTGGGCAGCCATGTAGCAGAGGGGACGCGGGAGGAAAAGGAAAGAGGGAAGCAGCCGGGCCACTGGGGGCGCCCTTCCTGAGACGGGGAGTCACGTGGAGCCACAGGCCCACCAGGCCTCCCAGCGCAGACACGGAGTGGGCAGCCGGGGACCAGCGGGGAGGCTGTGGCTGAGGAAATCGGCGTGAGTCACGCTGAGAGGGGGCGGAACTCAAGGCAGAGTCGGTTTAGATTCGGTCTCCTCTGAAGACGGTGGGTTGGATGAAGTCACCTGATTTCTTCGCAATGCGAAGCAGATTTTGCCAGTGCTGTGCAGCCCGTGTTTGACCTAGATCTGAATTCTCCCTCTACCATCTGCTTGCTAGCTGAGGCCACAGGCAACTCCTATGACCCTCTGAGCCCCTGTTTCCTGATTCAAATGAGGAGAGCACGGGGCTCAATAATGTTCATGTCCTGTGACTGTCATTCGCTCTCTGATCATCATTTGGCCGAGAAGTTTTCAAGTCCCTGCCCTATCTGTATCTCATGTATCCCCAACACATCATGGACTCATTTCATCCTTCTATGTGACTGGCCCTGGCCTAGGTCTCAAGCCTATGACTACAACAGACAAATATATCGTTCCTGTCCCCACAGAGCTCAGACCCACTGATCCGAGGCACCTCGCCTAAAAGTACTGGGATATTAAGACCAAGACCAACAAGTATATGACAAAAGTTACAAAGCAAAAGGGGAAGAAAGCTCATCACTGGAGCTCTAATTGGTCTAGTGGTAGGCAGCCCAACGGTTCAGCATGAAAGAGAAAGTTTTTCTTGGCCCTGATCTCTGGATGAAGGCGTCTTTAAAGATTTATTTATTTATTTGAGAGGCAGGGTTACAGGGAGACAGAGACAGAGATCTTCTGTCTGCTGGTTCTCTCCCCAAATGGCCACAACAGCAGAGGCTGGGCCAGGCTGAAGTCAGGAGCTAGAAGTTTCATCCGGGTCCCTCGCACGGGTGGCAGTTGCTCCTATGGGATCTGGCACTGCAGGCAATGGCTCAATCTTTGCACCACAACACTGGCCCCTGGATCAAGGAGTCTATACAAGAAGGCCACTAACCTATGTAATGCCATCAAGCATTAATACTTACTTTAAAAATGCCGATATGCATATGTGTCAGGTACATGTGTCAGATCCTAATTACAGGAAGATAATTACAGGGGAGAGGATCAGGGTGAAGTGGCCCAGGTACACACCATTTTGATGATGCGGCTTTGCATTAAGAGGGTAAGGCTTCAGAAATGTTCTACAGTGATTTGAAAATTTGCAGTTTATCTAGCCTGTCCACCTACATTCTGGAGTCTCAAAGTGAATTATTTCTTTAAGCACAAAAGCAAACAGCTGAGATTACCAAGAGGCGATGGATACTTTCGCGACTTCAGAAAAGGTCATCCTTGGATGCCGATGGTGTCGTGCAGCGGGTTAAGCCACCACCTGCGACACTGGCATCCTATATGAGCGCTGGTTCCAGACCCGGCTGCTCCAGTTCTGATCCAGCTCCCTGCTAATGCACCTGGGAAGGCAGCAGAGGACGACCCAAGTACCTCGGCCCCTGCTACCCAGATGGGGTTCTGAGCTCCTGGTTTCAGCCTGGCCCAGGCTTGGCCATTGTGGCCATTTGGAAAGTGAAGCAGAAGATGGACGAGCTCTCTTTGTCTCTCCATTCTTGCTCTGCAACTCTGGCTTTCAAATACGTAGACAGATACATAAATAAATCTTAAACAATAAAAAGGGAAGAAAAGGCAGTTCTCATCACGTCAGCTTCCACGGTGTGAAATGCAGTTCCCAGCAGGTTGCTGGAATGACCGTCTCCTGATGCACCAGCCCAGCCAGCATCCACTTCTGACTGCCAGGCCTCCCCTTCTCCCCACCCCAGAGAGCGAAGTCTTGAACTCCCACAGCCAGACAGTGAATAAGCATCGGACAGGGAAGTGGAGAGTGGGGCGGGGAGGACTTCCTGGTGACATCAGAGGCTTTGGTCAGTCCCCAAGCCCATTCTGAGGATGTCAGACGGAATTAACCACATCACTTGGTACACAGCAAGCATCTGTACTCCTTTTAGCAAGCTGCAGCCTGGGCTGATCTGTGTCCAACAAAGATGTCCCAGCTCACTTAGGCCACAGGCTCCGGGGACAGACAGCTCCCACAGGGAGCCAGATGGCCCAATGACAGGAACACTGGTGGAAGAACGAGAAAGGGCTGTGACAACCCAGGCATGTGAAATAATTCTCTGGGCCCCAGTCTGTCCCTCTAAAAAGTCGAAGGTAGAGCGCAGGGCCATTGGGAGGTCAAGTGGGCCCCTGGTGCCGAGGGCCGACTGCTTGCTTCAGATCCCACAGGCACCAGCTCTGCTCCACAGTCCACCTCTGCTCCCAGGAAGCACGCAGAGAAGGCCAGCCCCACCGACCACGTTGGCATGCCTTGGGGACGCCAAGGGAAGTGACAGGGGAGACTTCTGGGAGAAGAGGAGGATGCAGGAGCCCGGGGGAGAACTCGTTACTCACTCTACCTCGAACAATCAGACCCAAGTTTCTAACTAAAAAGGACAAGAAAGGCCACGATGCCACGGCACTGAATCAGGGCACTCCTCCGGAGAGACACGGCTGTGCGGAAGGATTAGGGGTAATCCCCACGACACCCTGGAGAGCAGGCCGGGCAGGGCTCCACCCAGCCACAGCTCTTGTCATCGCTGTGCAGCAGTCAGTCAGACCTGCAGGCCTCGCAGGAGAGGCAGGCTCCCAGACTGGGGTCACAGACGGGGCACGGCAGTCCCTGGTGGCTTGGGACAAGCGCAAAGGAGTCTGCTGAACCAATCAAACTGGGTCTCAGGGCGTCCCACCAGGACACAGTGAACCCAGGTCTCAGCATCGGCTCAAGGGACGGATTCCGAGTCCAGAAGTTGCTGGATCTGGGTCTCAAAATCCCAAGGCTCAGTCCACGAGCTCCACAAAGGAGGTGTATGGCTACCTCCGGCAATCAGAGCGGGGTGGATTCCAGTCATACCCAAACACAGTGAGGAGCTCTATGTGCCTCCCTCTGAGTCAGAAATAATGGGTCACCAGGCGGTGAGGTAAGCTCCCGGTCCTTCAGCTGTTTGCTCAGCGTCTGGACTCCGCCAGGAGCTTTCTCCCGCATCCTGCGCTGCTCCACCGCCAAGACGTCTGCTGGTCCAGGCCAGAGTGGAATTCCCTACCGCTCGCCGGGTTCCCGAAATGCTCTGGGAGGATGCTGCTATTTCTCCTTTCCAGGTGGAGAAACCGAGACTAACAGTTCATCAATGGTGAAACAGGAACTCCCGGCACAACGCTGGAATTCTCTGCTGTTGAACAACACATTTCTATTCCATTTAACTTTACTCTTCCTGCTCTGAAATATACTGTTTTTTTTGAAATACACTATTTCCAAGAAAAGGTTTTGTTCTTTAAAATTTTTTTTTCATTTTATTTGAAAGAAGAGAGACACACACACATAAACACACACAGACACACAGAGATATAGACAGTTTACATTTGCTGCTTCACTCCCCAAATGCCTGCAATGGTCAGGCCAAAGCCACGAGCCCAGACCTCAATCCAGCCCTCTCCCGTGGGTGGCAGGGACACAAGTACTTGAGCCACCGCTGCCACCTCCCAGGGTCCACGTTAGCAGGAAGATGGATTGGA